AAATCCACGAATGGGGGGGGCGATGGGGACGGACTACCGTATACCCTATCCCCACAAAGAGAAGGCCAAGGACGGAATTAACAGAAGACAGAAGAGCATCAACACCACGGGGACCCCTAACAAATTTAAACACAATGGGGGATTCATCAGGGCTGATAAACACAGGTTGTTAAAATATTGATATATTTCTCTAAACTCCCAACATCCCAAGTATCTCCCACGACTCTGGCCTTTCCTCTAGGACACCCCACTCCTTGATCCAGAAACTAAAAGGAATGCCTGGCCAGCAGGGGCCTCTGGGACTCGGGTGCCCTGGTGGTGTCTCTTCTGATCGATGCCTGTGACATGTTTTCCATTAAATATTGAGAGTATCATCCGAGGCTAATATAACCGTATTTTACCATGAGGAAACTGAGGTTTAGGGAGGTAAATAACTTGCCCAAGATCATAGAACTCGGTGAAATCAAAACCAGAATTCAAAACTGGTCTGCATGACTGCAAGACCTGTGATGTGTTTAGGGCAGCCTCATACGGTATTGTCCAAACTGAAACACTCCGGAGAGCAAAAGGTGAGACTCCTCCCTCCCCCCAAAAAAGGGATGCCAGGATAACGAACCTAAACAGAACTCAGCTGGACAAGCCGGGGTGTGGGGTCACCCAAATATTCCCCGCAGGGCTTCACACAGCAGATGGGCCAGGAGAAACGGAGATCCAGCCCCATGTGCACTTTAATGAAGACCAAGGAGAGTCCTCTCTGAACTTCCTGAAATGACTCACCCCTGTTGCTTTCCCTGTTGTTCGCTAGGTTTGTTAATCCGGGAAATAATCCTGTAGCTACTAACGCTCAAGTCCATCTTTCAGAACTTTAATCAATGTTTATGCTTATTTTAAAGACAAAAGGTCAGAGCGGATGTTAAGGAACCCGTGCAGTGCTACAGCCTGGGGAAGGAGGTGGTGGTAGATTGAGAACGTGTCAGGAGGCAAAAGGGAAACACAGCTGTTATTAGCCACACCCTGCTGCTTGGCACGTAAGACTCCACGCCCAGTTAAACGATCAAGCTCCGAGTTAGGGGGACAGAGGGAGGCCAGGACCAGGGGCTCAAAACAGGTTTGGAGTAGACCTGGACCTGACTTCAAATCCTGACTTCACCAGTGACCCACACAAATTACTTTCCCTCAGTCTGGTTTCTTACTTGTGAGACTAAGGAGGACACGTTTACCTTGCTGGATTCTTGTGAAGGTTAAATGAAATAACATAAATACAATGCACATACTAACAGACCAGGATGGTGGGTGGAGGAAGCGCTATGGAATCGAGCAGATAAAGTGAAATCTACAGGGTCCAGAGATTAGGGGTGTGGTGAGGTCAGGGAGTAACTGGGTGGCTTCCAGGTTTCTAGCCTCGGTGACTAGGGAGAGAGCAGTGCCCCTGATCATGATAGAGAATGAGAGGCAGAGTCAGGCCTAAGGGTGGTGGGAAGAACTGGGGTGATGCTGATGAGCCTGGTGGTGCCTCAAGCTTGCAGGGCTTACAGGTCTTCTGAGTGGAGATGCTCATTAGGCAACTGACCCTGAGACAGAAGCTCAGGTGAGGTCTGGCTTGACAATATGGGTTTGAGAGTCACGGTGTATAGATGGTATAGTGGTCGTATTAGCGCAAAAACAAGCGTGAAAAAAAGCGGGAAATGCAAGTAAAAAAAATCTACAACCACTGTATAAGACACATCCAGTTTTTAGATCCCAAATTTTTTGAAAAAGGGTGCGTCTTACACATGGGGAAATACGGTATTTAACCCTACGAGGTAGAAGAGGTGCCCCAGGAAGATAATACGGAGACCCAATGAAACAAGTGCTGGGCAGCTCTCTTACTAAGTAAAGGCCTGCTCTGTTTGTGTTACCAGAAAAAGTCATACAGAATAAAGGCTCCATGGCAGAGCCCCAGTGCATGCATATGTTTTAGATGTGCGCAAGGCACCTGCAAACAACAGTAACTGTTGTTAAGCTCTAGGCGAGCTCGGCATGTAGCATATTTGTTAGCACTCCAGCTTTGGCAGAGTCAGACTCAGGGTCCGTTCCAGCTCTATCACTTACTGGCTGTTGCCCTGGTCCAGTCAGTTAATGTCCCTCAGCCTCACTTTCGTCATCTGTAAAGTATGAAGAATAATTCAGCTTCAGGTTGGCTGTGATTATTTAAGGAGATAACATATTTAAGCACTGAACTCAGTCTCTGATATACTGTCAGCTCAATAAATGCTGGCTCATGCTACTTTTATAGAGTAGTGCTGTCCAAATGTGAGTTGCGTCTGTAATTATACATTTTCTAGTAGTCCCATTACAACACCAAAAGAACAGGTGTAATCAATTTTAATGTATTCTATTTTACCCAAGATACCCACAATATTATCATGTCAATATATAATGAATATAAAATTATTAATGTGGTATTTTACATTATTTCCTTCCTACCAAGTCTTTGAAATCTGGTAATTTACACTGCTAGCATATCTCAATCCAGACTAGCCTCATGTCATGTGCTCAACAGCCACATATGGCCAGTGGCTACCACACTGGACAACACAGCTCTAGACCCTGGAAGAGGGGGTCCATAATTCTTTCCGTCTCTAAGAATCACATTTTGAAGTGATTTTCTGATCTATTACTGAATTAAATCCATACTTCTTGTTTTTCAGCCCCTTCTACTTTAGCCTTAAGATTACTACAAGGGGGACAGTTGCCTGGGATAAACAGTATCCAACATTTTAGTGATGCTCTTTGAAAACTCACCACAGTGGCCTGTATAGAAAAAGATGAGCAGATGACAATGAAAGCACTGTGAAGTGGTGAGCTAGAATGGTGCAAAGAAATAGAAGGGTAAGCATAAGATAAATTTATTTAAATTTTTAAAATTAAACTTTTTGGGCTAACAAATGAACTAACAAAACCACACAAACTCAAAGATATATTTAAAGAGCCAAGCAAAGGACAATCTCCAAAGCTGCAACCTGGCTAAGGAAAAGCAGCCCTTAAGTCAGCCAAGTACAAGTCAGGTGGGGGCAGAGCAGGAGAGGCAGGAAGCACACAGTGAGGTGTCTCAACAAACAACGGCCAGGGGCTAGCAGGTCTGCAGCCCAAACACACCTCTGGGGAGCACCTGCCATAACTCAGCCTGTACCATCTGTGGCTTTATCTTCAGAGACAGAACAAGAAAAACTATAGAGAAGTGTTGTCTTTTGAGGGGAAACAGGGCAAGAATCTCAAACACTTTCCTTTTTTGTTGAGAGAAGAGGACTAGCTTAGTGCAAATTATATTTTTCCAAGTGTTAAATGTAAGGGAGTAATAAACTTCTCCCATGAACTACTGATAGAACTTTCACTGTGTATATTAACGCACTTTTTTCATGATTTACTAATAAACTAATATCGGTTTTCTGAGAGGTAGATTCAAAATTCTTCAAAGGAAGAATTTAAGCAAAGAAACAGAAATAGTCATTTTAAGCCACCACAAGGTGATCAAGTCATCAAACATAAGAAGCCTAAAGTCTTGCAAAGATTGTCTGTGCCATTAACGCTAGGGGCAAGGACCCTTCAACTCTCACCCATCCCCAAAGTCATCCACCACATCAATGCTATGTCCACAGTGAGCATGGTGGCCAAAGCGGCCCAGTTATATCTGATAAAGTCTGACTACATAATGCAAGGAGAGGCATAGACCAGTTCAGAAAGTTAAAAGGGTTATGCTTCAGTTTGGACATGTTACTTGTTGAAGGAAGAATTCTATTTTGGATATTGTAGAGTATCATGAAATCCAACAGATCTGGGCACCTACTGGAGGTGTGACCTTGCATATCTCACTTCTCTGATTCTAGTTTCTTTCTGCAGAAGATTTGTGAAGGTGAGACATACTGTGTGTAAAAGTGCTTTGCATAGTGTCAGACAAAGCAGGTATATAACAAATAGCTGCTAATGATAACAATAATAATAATACTAATATAAATACTAATATAAATAAATGAGATACTCATATTTATTTCCATATCCTTATAAAGGCTAACTTGGAAAAGGTTTTAACAAAAAGCAGTTTAAGGTAAAGGTTACTAAACTGACTTCCTTTTTGAGTCTGTGTATGAATATATACCAGCATGCAAGTGAGATTCATTTTCTCAATCTTTGAAACTCCAAATGGTTTTATTTTCCCTAGCTTAATAAAAAAATGAGGAGAGACTGGTCTTGAATGCCTGTGTAACTGACCTTGAAATCTGTGGGTTTTTTAAAAACAAGTTAGGAATTCATCCATGACAGAATGTGACAGTGGTGGGGAGACGGCAGGAGTGGTTAATGTGTGCTTTTTTATGCCTGTGCATGTATATACTTTAAGTCTTGACATACAAAAAAATTCCTCCACCCATGGTCTCAAAAGGCCCTCTTAAGCTACCAAGGGATTCCTTGCATCAGGAAAAAATACATCTGAAAAATTAGCTCACTAAAAACTTAGTATTATGATTTTTTTCCCTTACAGCATTTTAAGAGGGAGTTTCCTTTAAAACAAAGATAACTCAAAGAAAAACCTCTCTAAGAAATGCAAACACAATTCTATAAAGATGCTGATACAAGGACTCTGTATGCTGATAGGTAGAACACTAGGTATCTGTAACAATAAGGGAGAGAGAAACCTTCCTTAGTGTCCCTCAAATCAAATTCCGCAGTTGACTTTTTACTTCAGCTTAAGGTCAGTCTGGTTTCAAGTAAGAGATTTGCTTACACAACTCCAGGGTAATTGCTGAGTGTGTGTGTGTGTGTGTGTGTGTGTGCGCGCGCGCGTGTGTGTGCCTGAGTGTAGACTTCAAGTTGATAAATTGCACTATTAGAATCTCAATAACTTTTAGGTTGAAACTACCAAATTGGAACTCACACCTGGCTTGCTTCTGACTAATGTGAAATGTTAAAACAAGCCGGGGGCCATTCTCCTAACACAGTCACGGAAGAGACATAGCTAAGTATACCTTTCTTTGGTCTGGATTTCACTGGCAAGGACTCCTTTTTTTCCATTGCTGCTTCTCTTTCTTTCCATCGGCGGATCTGTTCCTCCCTCATCTTGAAGAACAGGATCTGTTTCTGTTCTTCGCTGAGCTCTGCCAGCAGATCAGGATCTATGTACATATCTGCTAGTATCTGTTTCAGCATCTTTGCAGGTCTGGAGTCTTTTACACCTGTGGCAGAAGTTCTTGAAAATGGCTTCCTGGTGTGCCTCCACCTGGGCAGGCACTTGAACGGACCTTCTGGGAGGCTCCCAGCAATCCCGAATGACTGGGACAGTATTTCAACAAACTGGTTCTTGGTCTCCTGCACCAAAAATCCTGTCCAAAATGCTGTTCACGAACCTGCAAAGAACAACAGCCAAAAATCGGGCAGTATGAAAATGTGTAAATGCTGGGCAAGGACAGGCTCATGAATACAGCTTGGAGGAAATATAGTATCGTTTTTCATTCCAAGGGAAAAGAGAAGAAAAGCTGAGGCATGCTTTGTTAAACATTTGTGTAACCTCTATCCCGTAATTTCCAAAGATACTTTATCAACAAAATAAAGCAAACCCTAACTTTTTACAGGTCAATCTCAGGGAAACAAAAAAAATGAAGAGGTTTGGCCTTCTCCCAACCGAGCAAACATATTATTACCTCAGAGCCTAACAAACCACCAACTGTATGGCTGAGAAAAGAATTAAAGAAAAAAAAAAAAGGCACAGGAAGAACTTAAAAGACTCCTCCCAAACAACTTATTTCAAAACAACCTACTGTTTTTGAGATTACACAGAATTACCCACCTCAAACCAAACCAAAACAGAACCATGCTCAAGGCAGAGAAAAAGAAGAAATAAAAATTAGACCACATTTCCCCTTAAAAGCAGCACTGAATAAGCACAATTATGTACTTTCATCCTCACAGAAAGACAATGCAATTTCCAGACAACCTACTAGAACCATGAAAATAGTGCAAGTGCAGGAGAGAACATTCACGTATATTCTGGAAGGTCACCAGATTTTAGGTGTACCTCCTCCAGGGAATTTAATAAAATCTGAACTTACAGATAAGATAAGATAAACCGGGGGAATGGAGAGGTGATTAGGTTCATCACAAAGGATCCTTGGTTTATAGTTTATTAGGGGCTCCTTTAAAAAGTAGCCATAGACTGGTACATGCTCAAGTGGTTTCACAATGGATCTACTTGAAAGGGGTGGTGGCAATTTCACTAAGGTTTCATTCTACTCTGCACATTTCTGTTTGGTGGGGGGTTTTTGTTTGTTTGTTTGTTTTTTAAAATAGCTAACCTTCATACTTTTGGCATCAGAAGGAATTTATGTTTACATTTCCATTCTGGAAAAAAAAAAGAATTTGTTTCAATATGATAGGATACACAAAGAAGTTTGCTTGCTGAGACTTTTTAGGGTCACCTAAATTCTTCAGAAATTGACTAATAATTTGGTGCTAATAATGCCTCAGTAATCTTACCATCTGCTCATGCCCTCTCAAATCTCATATCTGCAAACTAAGTTCAAATGCTCTTGAACTTCAGACTAGTCACATAGCTTCCTAGTTCCTTCACCTTATCATTCACACAGCCAGATTGTGACACTCCTCAAACCCCTTGGGAGTGTCCTTGGGTGCCCCTTCTTCCTCCTCTTCCTTGCAAACGATTTCTCCATTTACACCAGTGTTTTGAGACAGGCACGCTCAACAGCTGAACCTCAGAATGGTTTGCATACTTAGCACGCAATTCCATTCACTAACTTGTCATTGTGGAGCAGGGACCTTTACTGAGACTACAACTATTCTTGCTAACTGGATCCTATAATCTCCTGCGGCAGTCAACCAGAACTCAAATAGAACACAATATTAAGAGAAAATTTAAAAAGAATTAAAAGCGGTGTCTGGCTCCAATTCGGTCAGGCCTGCCTATCCCAGGTTCCCTTCCACTCTTTGTATTTTGCTTGAAAGGCTATAACAGCCACAGAATTGATGTCCTGTAATGCTTTCTTGACCTTTGGGTTCTAACAGCTTCTCAAGGGGTGGGGTCCACTAAATTCACACTAAAAGAGAGGTTTCCGGAGGCTGCACTCTTGTCTGTACTTGATGGGAAACCAGAGGAAGCATTTGGTTCCTCAGCACACTTCATTCCAGTGCTCTGAGGTGAAGTGGTGAGAAGCCAAAGAGAATGACTCTTTGACATTCCAAGGAACGTTCTCCTGCTGGCCCAGTCCATGACTCCAGAATGGTTGACTTTCACAGAAATAAAACATGGTAGAAAATGAGGAGTCCAATGAAGCCTGTGGTTTCTGCATCGTCCCCCATTTTGAATGGGGTGAATCCTAGCAACAGTGGTGACGTGGGCGGAGCCTAAAAACTAAAATCCTGAAAATGCCAAATTCACATTCTTCTCCTCTCCCCCACCCAGAGCACTCCTGGTATTAAGAGTGTACAGTCACTGTGCCAGCCACTACCTTTAGCACTTTATATGTATCAACTCATTTAATCTTCACATTAGCCCTTGGAGTTCAATCCCTCACTAGCCCCATTTCACAGATGAGAAGATGGGCAGTGCAGAGCTGGGCAGTCTGGCTCTAAGTACTACAACTGCACAACAGAGTTTCTTTGTGAGCCCAGAATCAGAGCATCATCAGGATGTAGTACCACACGTGAAATTTCCAAAAGAAGACCAGCAAATTCTTGCAGCAATGGAAATGCTGAACCGAAGGTGCATGACACAGAATGCCTCTTGGGCAGAAGCCTCATCCTGGTAATTGTGGATAAGCTTAGGGGAGGCCAGGTGTTGAAAAGACCCCACGCGAGAAGGATAGCGAGGACCTGACAGTCCTGCTTGCCCAGGTGTGGATGTTGTTTGCTCACTTTTTCTCCTCAGTTTCCCGGTTCACCTATCCACTAGGAGTAGCACAAATGGCACAGCCTCTCACAAGTGTGAAGAGCTCCACAGCACCTCTGTGATGAAATGCTCAAGATTTTTCATGGTTTTAAGTTTTTGTTTGCCTTTTGTAGCAAACATCAATTTATTTTTAGCATTCAAGTTAACTAGTGGATCTTGAGGGAAAGACACTGGCTTCCCTGTGTCCTAGGAAAATACTTGGGAACTCAGCTGACAAATGTCTGGCGGTCAGGCTGCTGAATAATATGCACGCCATTCATTCTAAGGCTGTTGATTCCTTCTGGGGTGAATGAACTTTTTCCTCCCTTAAGCTTATCAGATGGAAAACTGAAACACAGCACAGGGAGCTCACAGGACAACCAGCAAGCGACCCCAGCAGGACTCTCAGCTTTGTTCTCATGAGCTGTGTGACTTTCGGCTGTTTATTTCACTTTTCTGAACTCAGTTTCCTCGGATCTGTGAAATGAGGGCCTACACTGTGACTCTTTGTAACGTGAGGACTATGCAGATAATCTATGTGAAGTTACAGAGACAAGTGGAGTCAGGGTAGAGGAAATAGAAATGAGGAAATCAACTAATCAGGTTTTCCCCACTTTCACTCCCTGAAAGGACAGTCATTGCTGATACTGATTCAAATTTGAATGACGTTCCATTAACATATTGAGTGCAGCAAACTTCCAGTTATTCAAGATCCAATAAAAACAAAAAGCTCAGCTAACCTGGTTTTCTTCTTCTACAGCACTTTTCTTAAGAGAGAAATGACAAGCCACAAGCCCACATCTGCTATTAATTCCAAAAATAAATTTCTAAAGGGTCATAGGATCAGTTGTTTTCTAAGATACCCATAGATTTGGCCTGACTCTCACATCGTCCACAGTCCTGTTTTACAAAACAAAAATTCTGTTTTTAATGACTCTGAGATAAAAAGTAATAATAATAAAATAAAAACCCAGCCTGAGATACAGCTTAAACTATAAAAAGATTGTAATCTGGACGTATAACTTTAATGTTAAAAGTATAATTTGAATTTTAATTCTTTTAGTACAGTCAGCTCTGTTTTCAGATTTTCAGTTATCTTATTCAACTTTACCTTATTAATCTATCAGCAAAGGGGCCATTTTTGAGGATAAAGTGAATTACCAGAGGTGACAGCAATTTGGTAAGTTTTGTAAATACAGTATATACCATTCTTCGGTATGATACTTCAATTTGAAATTACTGTACACACGGATTGATCTACAGATTCCACACACATGCCAAATCTATGCCCACATATGCTTCCACTTATTTAGTCACTTAAAAAAATATTGTATCTAAGTCGTTTCTATTAATCAGGCATTCAAGTAAAAAAGCCTTTTAGGAGGTGAGGAGACTAAGTTTAGAGAGGGGTGCCATACTTGCTTCTTCCCTGCGACTCCTGGGGAAGGAAAGACAACTCTGAGAAAACTCTGAAAAACTGTAACTTCTCCCTTCGTCTCCGTGCCCACCCCCTTCGGGCGCCAGCGGGAAACCCGAGGGCGGGAACCGGCCGGGGTGCCCACTGGGTGGAGGTAGGTCATCGGTACCGAGCTGACTGGGGGTCACGGTCTGAGTCCGAAGCAGGACCTCGGCTCCCGGACGGCACCGGGCACTCTCGGTGGAGGGGCGCTGAAACCGTTTGCCCGGACTCTCCTGGAAGGTCTGGGGCCAAGGAGGACCCCAGGGCTCTACCCACGTCTGCTCGTCTGCAGGGCAGTCGCTGCGGCGCCACGGCGTGGGGCGCCCGTCGCGGGCGCGCGGGGGGCCGGGGCAGCTGTGGGGGGGAGTGGGGGGGAGGTGCGCGGCGCCGGTGGCTATTCGACAGGCGTCCAGAAAATGTAGACCAGCCCAGTTCCTCCCACGTGGCCCCCACCCGGCCGCCCCAGCTCCCTCCCGGGCGGAACCTCGCCTGATCTGCGTGCACACGCCCCTCGGGGACACGGAGCCCTGCCCGCAGCCTCGGAACCGACCCTAGGTCTCCAGCGTGCCCTGCGGGCCGCCCCCCTCAGGGGTCCCCCTTACTGCCACCGCGAGCCCCTGGCCCTCCCGCGCCGCCGCTCACCTCCCGGCGGCTGCAGTCACCGGACACCGGACACCGGACACCGGCCGCCCGCCCGCCGCAGCCGCGCTCGCCGGCCAGCCTCGCACCTGAGCCTGCCCCGGGCGTGGCCGCGGGGCCGGGGGAGGGGGCGGGCCGCGGGGACCCAGGCCTCGCCGCCCGCTGCCCCCAGCCCGCATCCTCCACTCTCCCCCTTGGGGACTCCCCCCGCCCCCAAATAAAAATCTCTCTGCCTCCCCGGCCTCCTCCGCCCCTGCACATACCTGTGAAAGGCGCTGGGCTCACCTGTCAGGGCGACCCGCGCACCTGCCACGTCCAGTTGGGCCCCCCAAAGCTGTCGGGGAAGGGAAGGAGGGACAGAGAGAGGCGCCTGTGAGCGGCACAGGCTGGCTGGACAAACACTCCGGTGAGATGTTGGCAAACAGCGTCCCTAGCCCTGGCCCGCCCGCTCCGCCCCACCCACGGCCCACATGCCGGGGTGACTGACTGGGCGCTGGCTGCCCCACCCGGGCTCCTGGACACGCTCCAGGGCCAGGCGGCGGCAGGGCCCGGCGGCCTGCTGCATCCCAGGCCTGCTGTCCTGGACGCACTCTGGGCTAAGGGACGGTGGTCGGGGGCCAGGCCACCCCCAAAATAAGCACCTGCAGTCCGCGATGGCTTGTCCTGCCATCTCGGGTCCCGCGGAACTTATTAATATCAGCGGCCCTTCCCCATCTCCACCCCAGAGCTCAAGGTTTCTTGCAAGGTGGAGCCTGCGGAGGCGGGCAGGCCCTTCTCAGTTACACTGAGTCCCGCGGGCCAAGTCAGCTCACCTCTCAGGTTCTGCTCCTTTTCTCTTGGAGCTTACTTTTTTTCCCCCCCCTTTTTCTTTCGTTGCCATTAAGTAAATGATCAAACTCTCAGGCTCTTGCCGGTACCCAGCGCGGCTTTGTAGGACAGGATCAAGGAGGAGAAAGGCTGGAAAGATGGAGACAGAAAACAAAAGCGACAGGGAAAAAAAAAATCAAAGAAATATGGAGGAATGGTTAAGAAGGTCAAGAATCTTGCGAATTGCAGCAAGAACAGGTTGGGGTGGTGCATGAAAGAAGTTGACTGAGGACAGGAAAAGGAAGTCTTAGAAAAATGGAGAAGACACAGAGTAAAGACATGGAAAGGGCATGTCCCATTGAAGAGGAACATTCAGAATATGTGGAGAGAAACAGCTTGGTTTGGAGAAAAATAGCTTGATTTGGTGAACTGCAGATTGCATGTGTTGGGAAGAGATGTAATGAACATTGAGCATTCACTCGTCCTTGCCACAGCCTACCTATAAATTCAGGAGTCTCACTTGCTCTGTTCAAAAATGAAATTTTCTCATTCCTAGCCTCTCCAAGCTTCAGAAGATACTCGAGATTAGAAAGAGCCTTGGGGCACAGATCAGTCCTCCAAATCTAGCTATTTAGGAACCAATCTAGGTATTCTATCGGGAGAATTTCTGGTTTAGGTATGGTTCCCACTGCTTATTAAATGGATGGCCTGTGGGGTGCTTTTTTGGCCGGAGTGTCATTTGCCCCTGGTTAGCCAGCTCAACATGAATTCTAACACTTCATGGATTGAACAGTTGAAGAACTATAAAGGGTGCTTGGTTCATCAGCCAGTAAACATTTCAAAGGACACGGATAACAGCCAGTTACCTTCCTCCACACTCAGTCTTTTTCCATGAACTGACAAGTCCCTATAACAGCATTCCCACATTGCTACTAATCTCTCTGTCCTTTGATGTCTCCCTCTGGATAATAGCAGTGCCTACTTCACTAAGTTGTCGTGAAGGTGAAGTGAGATAATACATGCAAAGTGCTCATAACACTTCCTGGAAGCAATAAGTGTTTAAACATATTAACTCATATTATTTCACATCGGATACTATAATTTCAAGTTGCCACTTTATACCTAAGCCTCAGTGATCCTCACCTTCTAGTAGTAGCCCCCTCTTATCTGTGGGAGATACATTCCAATACCAACACAGCAGGTATGCAGTACATGTTAGTTGAATGGCTGTTAACAGCCCAGATGAATTCAGACTGTACACATAGTACAATCATTCACTCACCTTGGAGCCCAGTATCTCTTTCCTTGTCTCTCATGTCTCCTTTCCATCCTTCTTGTCATGTGCCTTTTTCCTCTATCTGTAAATATCTCCCTTCTTTTCCTCTTATTTCTGTAGTTCTTTCTTCATCCTCTGCACTTTGTCTCCCCTCTCCTCTACCACCTTTCCTTTTTGTTCCCTCTTTTTCACCCTCTTTTCCTCTTTCAGTTTCCTCTTTCAATTGGCATAATCTGGAACAGAAAATATTGTTTTCTTAATTTCAAAAGTAGATAATTAAAATGTTTTCTAGTGCTTTAAAAAAATCGTCAAGCAGCTCTGTTATTTACGGACCCTTAAAGCTCTTTCCTTCCCTTTGGGCCAGTGCTCTCAGTGGATAACCTTTCCCCACCCCGCTATGCATTGTGGGGAGGATTGCTGCCTTCACAGAGCGGCAACACTCCTGATAGAATGTGAGGTCTGGGCAACCAGGCCTTGGCAGGAACAGCTACCGAGCATCTCATGCTGGCTGGCCACTGGCAAGTAGGGGACATGTATGATGGGTGTCACCAGTACATGTGTTCATGGGGTGCCTGAATGTCCATCCAGGGCCAGTGCTGCAAGAGAAAAGCTAAATATCTATTTACTATATATTAACTTCTTAAACTTGTCATTTCACTTTTCATAAGGTCGATTTGTATTTAGGTCCTACAGAAAATGAAAGTTACTTCAGATTTATTTTTTATAAAAGAAAATAGGACAAACACCAATGTTTTTCCTGCCATATTTTATCTTCAGCATCAGAAACCCCAACCACATTTTTTTTTAATTCTTAAAGAATTATGTTATATAATTGTTCCACAGTGACTATGAAGTAGATGTGAACGAAAAAGACTAAACATTTTAACTTTATTAAAAATTGATCAAATCTCAAAATAAATCTGTCAAGCCATCAATCATAAAAAAAAATTTACTGAAAGTCTTCTAAGTTTTCAGTTTTGTGCCAGCAGTTAGAATTGATTTTGAACTATTTTCATTTTTTTGTGACTCTATGTGGGCTTTTATTTTTTCATCTTCATAAATGTCAATATAAATTGTTGGTCTTTGCAGTCATCTTTGCATTAATTAGATTACTCTAATTTGTGATGTTTTTCCTTGAATTACCTTCCTGGAATTGTTTCCTCAAAATTTATGCTCTGGGTTGCTGAGAAGACAGTCCTCATTTTTTGTGTTTCTGGAATGCAATGGTCAGCAGCCTGTAGCCCACAGGAACTTCTGACCCAAGGCTTGTGGATGGAATTGGACAACACCTACCCTAAGTGACATGGGACATCTGTGAAGAGCCTGTGGTAGCCAATACTTCCTTACAACATCAAAGCTCTGAGAAAAGAGCGGAAGCAAGCTCCTGATAGTACTCTGGCATTCCTTGGATATTCCCAGGCAGCTTGGAGTAGGTCTCTTAATGCTAATAAAATCAAAGACCTTGTACCAGATTCAGAATCAGGTTTTGACTTCCAAACTTCTCTCTTATGTGCAATCTTTGCAAAAAGTACACCTATTTAGTTTTATAAGTGTTTACTGCCAGTGAGCACACAAGTAGTTCTCAAGTGCATATTAAAATAACCTAGGGAGATTTAATGGTTGTCCCTTTGTTCCTTTCCCCAAGGGGTTCTTATTTTATTGGAATAGGATGGAGCACAGACATCAACACTTTTCAAAGCATCCTAGGAGGTTCTAATGTGTGGCCAAGGTTGAGAACCACTAAATGTGTGGAAACAAAGTTAATTGGTTATGGGAGATTTTGAAGGCATAGTAATGGCTACCCCTAGACTTTGCTAAAATAAACATGAAGCTAGATGTTCATCTTCTTGATTCTGGTCTTGAAGTAAGTCCCAAAACCTTGTCCGGGGGTTCCACCAAACCTAGCCTATCATTTAATCGGGTGGGAATTAAATATAATGCACGAGATGACAGTGTTTGGCTCACTATGGCTGCCCAATATATCTAAGATTTGCTACTTTTCTTCCTTTTACTGCTACCTGAAAACTTTCATAACTGAGTTATGAAACTCAGGTGTTCCCTCTGGCCTTCTAGTTGAAGAGGGCACTTTGCTCTGTGGCCCAAAGACTCCCTGCCCACGCCTCATGGCTCCAGGTGTTCTCAGTCACTTTCTTATCTCTCCTGGAGGTGGCTTTACTTCTACCTACTTGAACTCCTGCCTTCCCCGCTGAACCATTTCCCTCAGTTATAGCCTTTGCTTGAAGACTCTTTACTAACTGGAAGTGAAGTTCATTCTACCCTTGGGTAAAATGGGCACTTTTCATCTTCCTCTAAGTGTATGTTTAAATAAGAGTCAGGTTATGACCTCAACAGTGCGCGCCATTGTTTAAGTTTGAGACAGAGAGTTGGTTTTTATTGGCATGTTAGTATTTCAATGACAAGGAAATTTGTACAGCATCCAGTATAGTGGAAAGTTATGGCCAATAAATGACAGATCATGCTATACAAATAGAGAAATATGAAAGAAGGCAACCTCCCTTTGGAGAAAGGAGTCTGTATCTATTTAGAATGTATATAACCACACCTGCCCCTCATTGAGAATGAACACTATGTCTTTACAAGTCCTCATTAAAAGACAGTAAATCATGCATTTTAGGACTAGAAGGAATCTGGACATTATTTGTACCTCATTTTACAGCGGAAAAAAAAATGGGGGAAAAGCAAGGTTAACCATTGCAGAGCTAGTTAGCAGCACACCCAGAATTAAAACAAGGGGTTTCTGACACATAATCTTTACAGAGTTATTATACTACATTAAATGAACTAGCTCATTTATCTTATACCAAATTCAGCAGTAAGAGAGACAGGAGCCATTACCCGTGTTCTCTGCTAACATAAAGCACCTGTCTCTTGATAAAGAGGCAGACAGGAGCTGCTGTCAGGGCTGCACTAGTTCAAGGCCAGATGTGAGGTGTACGGGGCTCCAGTCTACTCACAGCACTGGGATCACAGGACACCTGCAGGGACCACATTAAGCTTTCAAGGCCCCTCTGGAGAAACCAAAGCTGAGGCTGTGGCTCAATTAAGTATAATAAGCAGGTATTGATGGAACAATCCATCAGTTCCAAGTGTTTTCTTAGGTCAAATCCTGACCAGATGAGGATACATAAGGAGACGGAAGGAGAACAGCAGAAGGAACAGAGGAATCAATGCCAGGAGAATAATAAGAATGCAGGTGATTTCTTAAATGAATACATGACCCAGTTGATGTCGTAAGTAAGCTTGAATTTCCTTTGGTGCTTTCCTGTGAGGCCTCAAATCCACACCTTTCTTATAGGGGAGTGGTTCACACAAGAGAGGAAGAAAGAATGTA